TTGAACCGGAAAGGGTTTCAACAAGGGCAAGCATCCTTGGCTATCCGGGGGATAATGAAGTTCTTATTCACGCCAGTGTCTATTAGAAACTGTAGCTTAGCCCCATCTTGCACGCCATACTCTATGTATGGAACGCTAGAGAGGCGTCGGCCATAAAATTTACTGCGCCAGTACTACCAGCCTCCATGTGAGGTTGGTGGCCAGACTGGTTGTCTGGTAAAGCTTCATCATAATAAGCCTCACTGACGGATTTTTCCTCATGCTGGCTTAAAGCGGCCTCACCCGAGGATGGGACAGCAGTTAATTGGTACAGTCTTTGCGATTTCCGAAAAGGGTTAAGGTTGGAAGAGGTTCTGGGGCTGCGTTTAACGCTTAAATTATTGTTTCCCTGGATTGAACGATAGGAGTGGCCAGACTGGTGGGGCTCCATTTTGATCGCTCGGGGATTTGAATATCTTGGCGGGGGCTGAGAATTCCTGCCTGCATCTTGATATTGTTATTGGTTATTATAAGAAGAATGGTTGGATTGGGGCCAAGAATACATCTGGCGGTAAGGCTGAGGGGATGAAAACTTACTAGAATAGGTGACATGATTCATTGAGGTAAGATTCGGCAACTCTAAACAGATTGCGTAGGCCTCTGGCAAGTTTTTTGGACCGCGAATTACCAATAGTTTAGAGAGGTCACCGCTCAGGCCTCTGATGAAGACATCCAAGGCTCTGTCCTTATAAGTTTCGACCAGTGCACTGAGATTCCAGGGCTTTGGTTACCGTTTTTAAAGCAACGTATTATCAGGGCAAAGTGAGCATTTATTCCAGAGTAAAACGCTTCCACGGTCTTCGCCTCCTGAGTCATTTGACCCATCTGGTATTCTAGTGTGCGCAGGTCTCGCTTATCGGCGTAATGGAGCATTAGGTCGCGTTTAATTTCAGGCCAATCGTCTTCTGCCACGTTTTAGTTCGTACTCCGTACGGGCGGGAGTCAAAGGCTTCGGTTGGGGAACAACCTCGTTAACCTTTTCCCGAGCATCCTCTTGGCTCACTACCTTATCACTAACTTTCTTTACATCGTGTTTAACGTCGGCCATCTGACCAAGCAACACGGCCAGAGTAGCCTTAAATTTAGTCAAAACTGCCTTCATTTCCTCCATACTAACGAATCGATTCAAACAAATGGGAGTCTTTTCAAATAGTCTAAAATAATTATGAGTAGAGTGACGGTTAAGTTTTAAAATATTTTTTATTATTAAATTATACGCTGAGAACGCTTCTCTTACCCGTGTTTCGTATTTATTCTTTATTCGTGTTATTTGTGTTATCTTCGTGGCTTCAGAACGTGAGTATCAGGTGACTTACAACGTGCAGATTCTAAGGGCAAAAAAAATGACTTTTATGGGACAGGCGGGAATTGAATTTTTACGTGTGTGTGTGTGTTTTTTTATTTTTTGTTTTGTGAGATTTTTTTTTATTTTATCATCATATTTTTTCTTTTTAATTTTTTTCCTCGGTGAATGCTTGTATATTTTTTTGTAAATAAAAATTGTCGATTCCTTTTTTTATCCGTCGTAACACCTGAAAAAACTTAATACTTTTTTGTATTTATAAAAACGCGACTTGGTGGATCTTTAACGATTTTAATAACGACGAAGAGAGTGACGAAAGGGAGTGCGGTTTGGATCGAGTTCGATTTAACACTGTCTTTTAATTTCAATATAAAAATGCTTAAGCCTAACTTAACGACGGGGGCGAGAGACGGGGCAAATTCGCGAGAGCGATTAGATCTTTATTGCGCTCCCGCTCCCGCCTTACACTATTCAACAAATTTCAAAACGCAAAGTGCGCGAACACCGCCCCCTCTGAAGGATCGCCGTCTTCAGCATGCCACAGGCAGCACCGCCAGCCTATGGACCGCTCGCCGATACGTCGCATCCTTTGTCCTCACGTCCGCCACTCGGACCTTGCCGTCAGCGCCGACGTGCACCGCCACGATCCGCCCAGAGCACCTAACTTCGGCGGACTATGGGAGGCAGGTGTGAAGTCTGCAAAGCACCTGTTCCTTCGGACGGTCGGCGAAGACATCCTGACCGAACTTTGCGTTTTGAAATTTGTTGAATAGTGTAAGGCGGGAGCGGGAGCTCAATAAAGATGTAATCGCTCTGGCGAATTCGCCCCGTCTCTCGCCGCCGTCGTTAAGTTAGTCTTAAGCATTTTTATATTGAAATTAAAAGCCAGTGTTAAATCGAACTCTATCCAAACCGCAATCCCTTTCGTCACTCTCTTCGTCGTTATTAAAATCGTTAAAGATCCACCAAGTCGCGTTTTTATTAATACAAAAGAGTATTAAGTTTTTTCATGTGGGGGCTCAACCGGGATGTCATTCAACGCGACCTGCATCGATGTACGGCTCGAGGCGTCGAATACCACTCTCAACTTTGTCGTGGTGCTTTGAGGTCGCAGCACGCATTGGTGCGGAATGAAATAGTGCGAACTGTCTGGAATTTTATTGTTAGTGGAAGACATGTGGCCCATGGCTTCATATTCTTCCATGAATTCCAGATACATATTTTTTAAAGAAGGATCTTTGGATAATCTCTTTTCAAGCGACAAAAATCTACGTTTCGCAACTTCATATGATGAACCAAGAGTGTTTGGGTCAGATTTGAACGGCAAACGAACCGAAAATCTTCCGGACGACAATCTTTGAGTATTTTTCTCAAAGTGTTGCTCACAAAGTTGCTGCTCAGGAGTATGAACCTTGGCCTTGGGCGGCAAGTCTTCCACAGACCAAAATTTCTGCGGGGTTGTGTCTATTGACTCCAACACTTCCTCCTGGCAGCTGAGATGTACAATATATTGGTCTTTGGCTCAACAGAGTCAACGTTAATTCTCGATAAGGATTTCTATTAAAGGAAATTGCGATGGTTTTCATTTGTCAATACCGAACTATATCCCAAGAACTACGCAAATCAAATCTAGTTAGCCAAATTGGAGGTCTGAGTCAAACAAGGGCGTATGTGTGTGTGTATGTAAGCATATACATATGCATGTATTTACATTGTACACAGTTGCAATTGCCCGGCAAAGATAACTCCTTTCAAAGAAAGCTATTCGCTATACCCGTTACTCGTGTTGTGGAAACATTTAGATAATATTATTTAAGAATGTATGTGATTAGCCAATATAAGTATGTATGTTTAATATTTCTAGTCAATTTATTGCACTCAAAAACATAAACACAGCTGCTGGTGCAGGACAAAGGCTGCCTTCGCTAAAGCAGCGCTGGTGCTGATGCTCGTGCTGTAAAGCTGCCAGCTCTAAGAGATCGCCGAATTCTAATTGATAATTTGCATTTTTTTAGCTGAGTAATGGGTATCTAATAGTCGAGGCACTCGACTATAGCGTTCTCTCTTGTTATCATTTTTTTCCTCCCGTTTATTTGGAATCTATTTTTATTATTCTCTTTTTCACCTTTTTTATTTCATTTTTTAGGAATTATTTTTTTTTTTAATTTTTTTTCTTTTCACCTTTTTTATTTCATTTTCAATTTTATTCTTCAGAAAAACTCGTCGCTTAATGGAGAGGTCCCTGTTCGGGCGCCAGTTAAGTCCTTTCCAAAGACCTCCTGTCCTCGTAAGGACTGACTTATACCACTAACCATACAACATATAGACTGGTCATTTCATACAACGAAATTGGTCACAAAATTTTTCAATCGGGAGGCCCCAATGCTGGTAGCAGCAGGCCCCGACACTTCGTGTGCCTTCGGGTTTTTTTCGCTCTCGTTCTAATTCTTATTTTGACGCATGATACAATAACATAAGGTAGTCTCGTCGGCTGTCTAAACGTTCGGGTTTTGGTCAGTGCGTGTTCGTCTTTCGAAGGGAAAGGTTGTCTGCGGACGAATTTTTTAGGAAATTAACCCTTGAGCAACATGACATTTTGCAATGTGTGCCGCAAACACGTCGATGGCGTAAAGCCACCGAAATGTTTGGAAAAAAGAGCGCTGTGGGAGGATACTTTTAAAATAACAAAGAATGTAAACGAAACTTTAATAATCGCAGCCGAAAATGTTAATATAAGTTTAGACATAAAAAAGTTTTATTTTAAGATTAGAATATATTTTAGAATTAAGAATCTTAACAAAAGACTCAGTATTCAGAGACAAAAACAACGCCTAATTTCAAATTCAAAATTATTAAAAATTAAATTATAAAAAAAATTAAACTCCTTTTATTATGAAAGGCAAAAAAAAAACCCCTGAACTATCTAAGGGTTAATCCACACATTCTATTGTCGCTCTGCTCGCACTTACTAAACAGTTCCCATCTCACTCGCACTCATTGTTATAATAGTAGGGTACCAAAATTTTGCCGACGAGACTACCTTATGTTATTGTATCATGAACTCGAGCGCGAGCGTCAAAATAAGAATTAGAACGAGAGCGAAAAAAACCCGAAGGCACACGAAGTGTCGGGGCCTGCTGCTACCAGCATTGGGGCCTCCCGATTGAAAAATTTTGTGACCAATTTCGTTGTATGAAATGACCAGTCTATATGTTGTATGGTTAGTGCTTATACCTAGTCATTAGAATAATGTTCCTTAATCGTCAGTCCCTTCCAAGTATGTGGCCAATTCCCTTTGTATTCAGTGTTGGGACATACCTAGATACTTTTACCTAGGTATGTACCTAGGTACAATTTAGTGGTACCTTTTACCTTACCTAGGTATACAAATAATTGGGTACCTTTTACCTAACCTAGCTACAGATTTGTATATACCTTCAGAATTATTAAGGTACTGACATAGGTATTGAACAATGCTCTGATTTAAAATAGCCAAATCTGACTGCGACACTGAAATAAGCTAAGTCCACCACATCTACACGTCATTTCGTTTCGAAATTGTAATAGTCGGAACGCAGAATTAAAAGTCAGTGGAACTAAGCCATTTGTGAAGTAACCTTTGCATTGCAATATGCACAAAACAATTTGACTCCGCGCGACAGACATGGCCGAAAAAGATTATATAAATGTATAAAGTATTGCCAGTAATATTAAATGGCACATTTTTTAAGCCGGACAATCAAATTCGATGATAAATCTGCACAAACACCTTAAGGTAAGTTTATGCGCTCTTTTTATACCCTTGGAGAGGGTATTATAATTTTAGTCAAAAGTGTGCAACGCAGTACAGGAGACATCTCCGACCCTATAAAGTATATATATTCTTGATCAGGATCACCTCCTGAGTTGATATAGTCTGTCCGCAAACTAGTCTCTCAGTATTAAAGATATCGAATTGAAACTTTGCACACACCCTTCTTTCCTATACACGCAGTATATATGTCGGAACGGCCGGGATCGGCCGACTATATCCTATAGCTGCCATATAACTGATTGATCGGAAATGCCATAAGTTTGGTGTTTGTAAAGTTAGGAAGCTGGGATTTCCTATGGGTTTTTTCCTATGCCATATAACTGATTGATCGGAAATGCCATAACTTTGGTGTTTTTAAAGTTAGGAAGTTGGGATTTTTTATGAGTATTAAGAATGCATCATATGAATAATTTTGGAGAATATAATTTACAGAGTATTCTGCAAGGGTATATCAACTTCGGCTCCGCCCGAAGTTAGCTTTCCTTTCTTGTTATGTGTAAGATATGTATGTACATATTTGAGAATGAAAATATGACTAAGGGTAAAATCGCAGTTTTATTGTATATTATATTGTGCACTAATGTATGTACGTATCACCACATCAATGTATTTATGAAACCCAAGTGCATTTGGCGATCAAAAATGCCGTATGTACGTTAACATGCATGAATAGTCAAAAGTTTCTACATATGTACGGAATTTTTGCGCGCCAAATACACATTTCCTCTTGTACATCTTAAGAAAAAAGTGTATTTGGTGCGCAAAAATGCCGTCTGAACGTAAACATACAGCATATACAAATGCACAATATATAGACAAATGTTTCTACATACGGAATTTTTGCGCGCCGAAATATGTACACGAGGGTTCCATAAATACATTAATGCACGTAAAACTCTGCATACATTTATTCATGCCGTGTGTTTTAAAAATGTATACACACAATTATTCAAGCCCATATTTTTAAATAATTTGACTTAATTTAAAAAAATCTTCAACAAACTTAGGGGGTTACACGGAGTAAGAGGCCATGAAAGCTAAGAAAACTAAAACTAATATGGAACTTTCTAAGGAAAATTCAAAATAGTTTTTCGGTTCCCTGAGTTCAGCCCAGGTAATTACATTAATGACAAAATTTAATAACTCAATATATAATAATGTGTGTTTATTTAAATATTTGCAGATCAATCAGAAAGTGTGCAACTACATCGTGGGGGAAATTTTACCAAAATCTCACGTTGAGCATTACACAAATTTAACAGCTTAACATAAATATAAACGCATTTTGGATGTATTCCTAAAATGCAATAAAGTTCTACCCAGCTCTGCGCCAGTTGAAATATTTTATGTTGTGGAGGTCAAATTGTAACCCCAATACGAAACTAGCTGGGGGACGAGTTTTTCGAAGAGGAAAAACCTGAAACCTAGACTTAAGTTAAGTAATCTTAAGTTGAATTGATTCGCCAATGTAATAAAACAAACAAACAAATAAAAAAAACAAAAAAATATTTTAAAAAACAATATTTCTATCGTTTGCCTTTACCTAGGTTGTTCGCTCAAACTTGAATAATATTGAATTTGTTAAAAATAAAAACTTGAAGTTTAGTGTAAGTTAGTTTAGGGCGAAGGCGGGAGCACAATAAAGTTTTCTCTCGCTCTCGGCGAAGTCGCCCCGTCTTCGCCAACCTTCGTTAAGCTAGGCTCTAAGTACTTTGTCGAAAAATATATAAGCATTCGTTGAAATTGATTTGAGCCGTCGACACCTTTTCTTTTCGTTTTCGTTTTTAGCAATTAATAATTTTAGCCACCGCCAAGTTTTTTTCGGTTTTAATAATTAGAAAACTCTTTAATTTTTCATGGCGCCCCCGGGTGGACGTTAAAGTTATTAATTTATTTGGAAAACTATTGACAGTGACACATAAACCAAAAATATAAAGTGCAAGTGGAGTTCCAAGCACTCAATTACATACATACATAGTGTTTTTTGTTGCCCGCGGCGTGTCGGTGTGGACAGAAAATACACAGCAGCTCCTGCTTAAAATATCGTGCCTGTCGCGAAATACCCTGTTCGCCACAAAAGAACTGCTGCCAGAGGGATGCCCTGCGACTGCTCAATGTGCAAAAGGACAGTGGCAGCTGGACTGAAAGACACTAAAGCAGAACCTGAGGTATTTGTGCAAAAAATTGAAAGCTTGAGTTTATAAGAAAAACAATTTAATTGTTTATTGTCTTGTGCTGAAAAATTGCACCTCGCTTTCAATTCTTGGCACAGACGTATCGATATAGTAGAGCTAGTTGTGCATGCATTTATTTATAATAAATAAAAATAAAAAATTATATTCAAATTTATTATATACACATACATATACACATACACATTATAACCTATTTGAACCTCCGTTGGACGCAACATTTACATAATTGTGTTATATTCAATATTATATGCAATCACTGTCGCCCCCAATTTATTTATTGAAACTCGAAAATTAATAGTTGGTAGAATTTTCCCAGCCGCTATATATAACCAATACATAAGTCCTCATATACAAGCAGCTGCAGCGGTTAACTTTTTCGTTTTCCTTTTTCGCTTCGCTTGTCTGCCGTTAGCATCGTTGTAATTGTTGTTGGACTTTTGGTTTGGCGCGCTGAAGATCAAAGTGACGCGCTACCCTGCATTCGGACGGGTATACTGATTTTTGCCGTCATTTGCAACCACTGTTAATTTTGATACCTCGTGGCTCGATATTCAATTTAATATTTTTTTTCGTCGTTTTCGTTGTGGATAATTATTAAAATAATTTTTTCGAACAAATTTAATAATTAAATTAAATTGTTATTTACTCTTAGTATTTTGTTTCGAAAATTTATTTAACATTTGTCGTCATTCTAATTGAACAATTATCCTCTTTTAAAACTTATTTATTTTATTAATTATTATTCTTGGATAAATAATTTATTTATATATATATATTTATTTATTTCGTGGTTTATATATAAAAAATAAAAAATAAATTAAAATGAGTCCAGATAAGCCAAAATAAGCTCAAAAAACCAGTGATGAGCATCCGCCGATTAAATGATCGAATAGAAGCCGGCCAGATTCCGATCCAAGAAGTAGAACTAACTTGTCGGCTAGAGATTTTAAATGCTTCTATTATTAAGGCAACTCAAATACAAGAACAGATCGAAGATTTAGATGATGGCGATGAGTTCGGAGAAGAGTTCGGAGAAGAGTTGGAAGAGCTTTCAATAATAACCAAGGCAAAAATAATGTCGCTTATCTCAGCCTTGAAGACGGCAAGCGAAACCAAAATAATTGGATCAGCTTCTGTCGCCCCAACTCGAGCTCGACTTCCGAATTTGGCATTGCCGAAATACAGCGGCAAATATTCGGAGTTTAAGAATTTCAACGTTATTCCAGCACATCAATTTGGCTTTCGAGAAAGCCATGGAACAATAGAGCAAGTCAACAGATTAACAACAGAAATAAGGACTGCATTCGAGCTTCGGGAATACTTGACGTTGCACAGGCTTTCGACCAAATCTGGCTTGATGGCCTTATCCATAAAATCAGAACGATCCTGCCAGGAAACACTCACAGGATACTGGAATCGTACCTTTACAACAGAGCCTTCGCCGTGAGATGCAACACCACAACATCCGATGACTACGCTATAGAGGCTGGAGTTCCCCAAGGTAGCGCCCTTGGTCCAACTCTATTTCTCCTCTACACCGCAGATATTCCCACGAACGAGCGGCTAACTACTTCTACATTCGCAGACGATACCGCGATCATAAGTCGGTCCAAATGCCCAACTCAGGCAACAGCACTAATAGCTGATCATCTCGTTGTAGTGGAGAGGTGGTTATCAGACTGGCGTATAAAAATAAATGCGCAAAAGTGTAAACACATAACGTTTACTCTTAACAGACAAACGTGTCCCCCGCTAACCCTGAATAACACGCCACTTCCACAAGCTGACGATGTAACGTACCTTGGCATCCACCTAGACAGGAGACTTACATACATATCGAAGCTAAGAAAATTCACCTAAAACTAAAATCAAACAGTCTCCATTGGCTTTTAAACGCGCGCTCCCCCCTCTGCCTGGACTTCAAGGTCCTGCTCTACAATTCAACGCTTAAGCCAGTCTGGACCTACGGCTCCCAATTGTGGGGAAACGCGAGCAGCAGCAACATCGACATTATTCAGCGAGCACAATCAAAAATCCTGAGAACTATCACTGGGGCACCTTGGTATGTTCGGAACGACAGCATCCACAGAGATCTTGGCATTCTACCCGTAAAAGATGAAATATCAAAACAAAAAGCGTCCTACCACACCAAGCTAACATCTCATCCAAACCAGCTCGCCAGGGGCCTAGCCAGGGCTTCCATCCGGACCCGATTGCAACGCAATGACCTTCCAGCTCAGCAATAGTTATTAGAGCCCCTAAATTTTCGCGCCAGTCACCTTGACTGTCAGATAGCTTTTTAATTTAAGATTCTATATACTTATTGTTAGTCTCAATTCAGAGAAGATCCAATAAATAAAATGCAAAAGTTAAAAAAAAAAAAAAAAAAGAATTTCATTAGCCTTTTTGAAACTCTTGTTCATCAAGACGACAGCATTCCCGTCATAGAAAAATTCAATCACTTAATTTCTTGTCTTTCTGGTGAAGCGTTGGGAACTATTAAGGCCTACCAAGTCACCGAGAGCAATTATGAAAAGGTTATGATCAGCCTGAAAAAAGTGTATGATAACGAATGTTTAATTTTTATGAATAATATTTCAACATTGTTTAGTCTTCCGAAAATAACGCAACAGTCAGCTTCGTCTTTAAGAAATATTATCGACACCGTATCATCTATATACGGTTCTTTGTTATCGATAGGAGACGACACCAAGATTTCAAATGCAATGTTGATCTATCTTGTTTTGAACAGAGTAGACCCAGTGACCAAACAAAAATGGGAAGAACAATTAGATTATGAAAGGTTACCGCTCTGGTCCGATTTTGAAAAAATGTTAAACCGCCGATACCAGCATTTATCCGCTGAAGAATCGACGAAACCAAAGCAAGATAAAGTTATGACGAGCAAGCCACATAATCGCAGCTCATTTTCTTGTTCTTCGTCCAACAGTAAATCCCAGCAAAGTTGTAGCTATTGCAATGCAGGAGACCATATCCTAGCGAACTGTGGTCCGTTTGGTCGCCTTTCGGTAATGCAAAGGTTTGACTTTGTAAAATCTGCTTCCTTATGCATCAATTGTATGCGAAAGGGTCACACTGTTTCAAAATGCAAATTTAATAAATGTCGAGTTTGTGGCCGCTCGCATCACGTTTTACTGCATAGATATACAGTGTCCGAAAATAGTTTAGCGTTGCCACCAACTCAAGAGATTCTTTCTCCCTCTTTAAATCAAGATCAGCCTTCCACGTCACATGTTATGCATGCGACATCATTGGACAGAGTGATTTTAGCCACGTCGATCGTAAGTGTAAGAACTAAAAACGGTGAATATATTTGGGGCCGAGCACTTCTTGATTCTGGGTCCCAAACGAATTTTATAACAGAGGACCTTGCTCACCGCTTACAGATCCGTAAAGAGGAGTCGTGTATAAACTTACTTGGTATTGGCGAGTCCAATTCTCAAGTTAAGAAAAAGGTACACACAATGGTGAAGTCGCGTATAAATGGTAGTGAGTTCTCCTTCGATTTTTGGATTTTGAAATCAATATCAGGATATCATCCTGACCAGTCGGTCAGTATCAATGACTGGAAAATTCCAAAGAACCTACCACTAGCAGACCTCTATTTCTACAAGCCACAAAGAATAGATATGTTAATAGGAGCAGAATCATTTTTCGAATTATTAGCTGTTGGACAAATTAGACAAGGTCCTGACTTTCCAACTCTGCAGAAAACCCTCTTCGGCTGGGTTGTATCGGGTAGATATAAGGCATCTTCCCCTACAGAAGTTGTGAAAAGTTTCAATTGTAGTGAAGAGATTTTAGTGTCTATTGACAGCACACTACAGAAGTTTTGGTCACTGGAAGAAATGCCATCTCTAAAGAAAATTCTGTCACCTGAGCAAAAGTTATGTGAAGAACACTACCGGAAGACTACTCAGGTTTTGCCATCAGGTCGGTTTGAAGTAAGACTGCCGTTTAAATCGGATCCAAATGAGTTAGGCAACTCTTTTGAAGTTGCAAAACGGCGGTTTTTGTCGCTTGAAAGAAGGCTGTCTCGAGACCCTGAGATGAAGGAAATGTACCTAGAATTTATGGAGGAGTACCTTTCCTTAGGTCATATGTCTCTTACAGATAAACTTCCTTCTGCTCCACATTATGTTCTCCCACATCAATGTGTTCTGAGACCCCAAAGTACGTCAACCAAGTTACGTGTCGTTTTCGATGCGTCTTGTAAATCGTCAACTCAGAAGTCTCTAAATGACATTTTGATGGTTGGGCCGACAATCCAAGATGAGTTGTACTCAACGTTACTGCGCTTCCGGC